GGCAGGACACGGGACGTTCCCCAAGTACAGCCTCGCCTTTTTGCTAACCCGTCTGACAGGACAGGTGAGCCGTAACAGTGCTGCGCCCTCAGCGCTGAATACGAAGTAAGAAAGCCTTTCAAAATTGTTTCTACCCTGCCTGCCATCCCAGGATTTCCGCAGCCCGGAAAGCAGCCGCTGCCCGTCCAGCCGGGGTTTACAGCGCTCCTCCCCAGCGCTCCCCGGTTCTCCAGCCTCGGCTGCAAGAACAGACTAGAGGTTTTCCAATTTTTATTGACAGACAATTAACCTTAATATACACAAGTTGATAAAATGCCAGAATCCACCTCCAAATGATTTTTCAGAACACTGAAAGATAGGCAATAAATAATACTTAAATGAAGAACATTCCCTTTAATTAATACCCTCCCAGCTTACAGAATAATCTGACAGCCCTTAACAAGAACAAGAGTATCTCTGTTAGAGACAGCATTCCATTTTACCAAACAAAAACTAGAAAAAATTTTAGCTTAGTAAAACATTGCACAATGATAAACTCAGGCTATCCTTATGCAGTACACACACTTGCAATCCCAAAGGAAACATTTCCAGCAGCTACAGAATAGCGGAGAGAGGCTTACTCTGGAGCAATCAGAAGTTGGCAAACATTTTAATCGTGAATTATGTCAAGTGCAAATTAAGTGATTAAAAAAGTGACTGAAATGATGACAGCATGTTAACTACATAAAATACATATTCTAGAGAAGAACTTTAGCTATATAAAAAGCCTTTTTTTCCTAAGGAGGGATCAATATTCATGGAATGAAAAAGTAATAAAGATTCAGTCTCTAGAAGACAGAACTACCCAGTCTGTAGATCATCCAAACACTATCTAGGTACTTAACTTTATATGCGCTATAGTCAAACCACACCGCTTTTGACTATTTTTTATTAAATGCTTCCAGTAAACGCAGCAGGTGTAAGAACAGATTGATGATGTCCAAATAGAGATTGATTGCAGCCAGTATGTACTCTTCAGGGGATAATTTGTGCATCAGCAAATGAGTATCATAAATAATAAATCCACAGAACAGAAGAGCTCCGGCGGCAGCAAACACCAACTCTATTGTCTCACTGTAGAAAAACAGCTGGAGGCAAATGAAATATGAAAAAAAAAATTTGTAAACTTCATTTTCTTTTTAATATTAAAATCCCTGCATAATGATATGCCGCATTTAAAGCAAGGATACACACTGTCTTTTTACTGTTCTGTGCACACAAATACAGTATTACGATGACATGTCAATGTTCTTCTTTCATATAGTCCCCAGTCACACAATCTCTTTAACTGAGTAAAAGTGCCTCCACTTCAGGAAGCTCTGGTCTCCAGAATATTAGCAACAGCAGAAAAATTAGAAAAACAAAATGCAATTAAAACCCAAATATCCTTCCCATTCTCTCAATCAAGTAGTGGATCTCGACGGACAAATTTTGTCAATCAATGCAAATACCACTTCTACATTAGCAAGAACAGCATCCAACAAAAATTTGAATTGGAAATGAATGGTTAAAAGATCACCAGCGTGATCTACAACAGTAATGGATCTGGTTAGAAATTTTCGTTCATTAAGCAATATTGGACTGTCCAAAATCAGTTATACCAAAGTTATAACTTCGTTATACCAGAAGTTAGATTTATATTAAAGAATGTTTTTTAACCTTGAACACAAGGTATCTTACCCTCAAGAAACCCGAGAAGATTAAAATCCACAAACAAGCAAAGAGGCTGGAAAAAAAAAACAACCTGTGAGCAATAATATCTTTTCTTTTAAATTTTACTTAAAATCTCTTCCCTTCCTATAAAACCTCTTCACAATATATTTGGTAAGTAAATGTCCATAATTCTTACACGCCAACTGTTCATTGGTATCGGTTTTATAAAACTGTCAAAAGTTATGTCCTAAATTTACTTTTTTAAAAATATTTGAAGCAGCTGCCTTCTGTCTCAGTGAAAAATCCGGGTAAATTAGTGTAATACTGCAGTTTTAAGAATCATAATCACAGGAAAGAATTTCTTATCAAGAAAGCAGAACTGCACAAAATTAATAATTTAAGATAAATAAAACGCTCACCATTCCCTTGAGGCAGGTTCTATTGACCTGTATTCATTATTATATCTGCAAAGCTTGCTTTAAAAACAGGAAAAACTAGCTTAGCAAAAAAAAAAAAAAAAATCATCAATATGACAACATACCCTGCTCCAAATTTGCTGAAGTCTCTCTTTGACTGCAAGGTATACACAGTCAGTCCAAGAAATACAGCAGTAGTAAGAATAAAGGCTTGCAAGACGACGGACACATCATAGAAACTGACTATAAACAGAAAAAGTAAACCGTCATTTAAAGAACACTACATTATGGATTTGCTAAGTTATCTTTTGAGGAAACAGAAGTTTAAACTTTCACAGACAGGAAAAAAAAAAAAAAATCTTAACTGTGAACAAAAAAAAGTAGATTATGTGTGAACTTGTCTTTGCACTTCAAAATCATGACCACAGGGCTCACAGACCCTTGCACTAGTTTGTCATTTATAGTATGGCTGTAGCGTCTTAAATGGAGATAACACATCTCCATTGTTTATTTATAAGAAATAAATAAACAAAAGAAAATAAGAAGTATTTTAAGCCTAGATATGTGGGATCTTAAGGAAAAAGCTATCTGAATTTTTCATGATACTGAAATAAGGAAAAAAAAAAAAAAATCACAACACAGTCAGTCCTCTATAAAGGCTCATAAAAGTTTTGATTAGGGGGTAGGAGGGGAAAGATAAGAGAAATGAGTGGAACCTTTTTCTTCCCTCCTTCCTCCTTAAGCTTTCCTTTCCCCAAACAATGTTTTTTTGCAGGAGATCATAAGCCACAAGGAAGAGGTTTCATCTTATGCTGGAAGCTATAGCACAAGGTGGCTTCTCTGCACGCTGCTCCATGTCAACCCTGACAACCAAGTACAGAACTCTCCAAACTCAAAGTAGTTCCCTTGGAGGAAACAGAGGGGGAAGATAAGGTTATTTCACTTGCAGATCAGCTCTGCTGAGAGCTGCCTTTCAGGAAAGAGCATTGTTAGCTGTACCGAAAGAACAGATGGCACAACTCATTTCTCACTTCAGGTTTACATAGTTTCAGTTCTGGATCAGAATCCAGTTTTCTTCCTTGATTCCCTGTTTTTTGCTAAACTCATATCACTGTCATTAAAATTTTCAAACAGGGGATTTATTATCACTTTAGTCACATCTAGGAATCTCAGATGGCAATTAGTACAACATAGTGGATTCCTTTTCCAATTCCTTTAGGAAATCAGACAATAGGATGGCTACCATTTACCTGTAATGGCAACTGTCAGTGCTTCCAGTAGGGTCTACAAAAAGCAAAAACAAAAAATTACGAGGACAAAAAAACCCACAAAACACTTACACAGAGACTTCCCATGCAATGAGCCCCATTCTGCTATGTAATCCCAGAATGCATTACATTAGCTCTCTTGTTAAATCTTTGTATATGAAAACATGTTTAATTTTCAACAAGAAAATGGCACTCATACTGTCTTACTGTGCTGGAAGTTCTCATGCTACATAAAAATAATACAACATAAACTGAAAATGAATGAGAGACAGTCCCTACAGAAAAATGCCATTTAGGTTTTCTACTCAAAGCACACAGCTTTCTTATCACACTTCTTACGAACTATTCAAGGGGCTATAAAATTTCTCGGAGCTGCTACTAGAAATGAACTGTTTTCAGCTTTTTGCATGCTTTTCGATTTTTGAAATACTTTCATCCAACACTCTTAATATCTCATTAGACAGCTAAGCATCTACATCAATTTCCTTTTCCCACTCGTCCTCGTTTTGAAACAGCTAACTTAAGATCAAACATATTATTGCTGTCTGGGCTGAAGGCTAGTATGGGCCCTGAGTTTTTCTAAAAGGTAATTTCAAATTAAGTTTCATTACAATAAAAGATGAGAAAAGTATCTATGGCATGAACCAAGAGGTCAGAAATAACAGAACATTTAACCCATATTTTGTTTAAACCAATTTGTCACACACAGATTTGAATCCTTCTATTCCTACGCAATGTATTACTTAAACTGTCATACCACAAACTCCCATACCACATTTGGCCAAACTATGAGATCACTCCTTGTTACAGGTGCACTTGTTGAAAGTTTTTAAACATTTTATTCTCCTGCAAGAGTTCTGAAGTCAGGAAGCGTATAACTGCATTACAATTTAAACAGTCTATTTACTTACACAGCAAAGCTGCCTTCCCATTTTATCACAAATACAATTTAGGCAACTCCTAAAGCATCAAATTCGAATGGTGCTACTGTGACTTCTTTTCAGAAGACTGATTTGCTACATAATCAAAAATATCCAAGAGCAACAGTTAGCCCACATCCACAAATTTGCAACATCAGGCAGGAGACTGAAATTTGAGGACAGCTTTGATTGACCTGCCTGTGTTGGAAACATGCTCAGAATTTAGCATCAAAAAGAAAACAATTAATGAAATAAACACATATGGCTGGTTGCATTTGGGTCTCTGCTAGAGGTTGTCCCTTAAACAAATAAGGTAACAGAAATGCCTCCTTCCTTCCTACTGAGCAGTTTCATAGAACAATCACTGATATCAACAGAACAATGAGAGCAGATAGATATATTTATACACTCACACACAAAAAAAAAGCTTGTTCAACCTGATTTCAGGTTCTAACACTCTTCCTAAAAAGATGCTGGAAGAAACCTGAAGTAGAGGCTATCTAGGAACAACCTGTGGATAGAACCTCCAAAAAATAACTCAGAACTTCGTGAGTGTATAGCCACCACTAGTTTGCTTCAAGGAGGTCATCACAATGAAAGATATTCTAAGGACTATTACAATTGAATTTACTAAATACTTACAAATCCAAAAAGCAGGTATAAATTAACAGGATGCTGGTGTCTGTAGAGGGTCAGTGCCACGATTATAGCCAAAGATCCAAACCCAGATATCAAAAGCAAGGCAGGCCTGTAAAGTTTCATACAAAAAAGTTACCAAAATGAAAATAAAATATCTGGTAGACTAAAAACCAGTTTATATAAACCCAAGTTTTTAAGTGATCACCTGGATAAAGATACTGCTCTGTATATCCAAAGTAAATGCAAAACAAGTTTTACAATAAAACCGCTCTAAAACATACCACCACAGATAATCAGTTAAAAATAGTACAGTCACAAGTAAAGACAATTTTTTCATACTGAAGCTGAAGATTGCCCAGGAATCCATCACCTGGTGATGAACCCGTATGAAAAGGAAAATCTATCTGTACTAAACAGCATTAAAGTGTATGTAATATTTTGCCTATTAAGAACTCCACATTCAGAGAACTGTTTTTTATAAGCACTTGAATGCAACAAACATGGGCACTAACTGCACCAAAGAAAATCAGTACTGACCAGTAAGTATCGCTATAATTAAATCATTCAGCAGCCCTCCAAGCAAAAACTGGACCAAAATCAAATACAAAATCACAACAGTTTTAGGCGAGCAGGACGATTTTAAATTACCAGATTTAAGTAGAAAACTGTAGTTTTACAACCTGTTGTATAAACCATAGCTTATATAGAAACTTTCAAATAGCGTTTTATGCTCCTTTTTTATTTGGGCTTTGAAGTGAAAGTAAAAGCAAAGTCTGCAAGTGCACTTGGGGGAAAGCAGAAACTGGACTCAGTGCTCTCCTCCTTTCCCCAGTTGTTGTTTTCCCCTGCCCGTTCACCACAGTTTGGTATTTGAGACTTTTTTTTTCTCATGAGAATCTGCGAGGCAAGAAGATGCAAGGAATTTTAGCAGGAATTTTAGCAAGCTAGTTTTCAGGGAAAAAAAAAAAAAAAAGAAGATGGGGGAGGGAAGGAGAGGAGTAAGACATGATTCAGCTTTTTAGAACAGGTACCTATAAACAACAGCATTCCTAACAGATTCTAAAACATAGACCATAAAACAAGAAATGTCAATAATTAAGATGTTCGGCAACTGATGTATAGGTTTTCATAGCATAAATATTAAAATAAGCACTATTAATGAAGTATTGATTAACTTTAATGATAGTAATAAAAATAAATTTTAAAAATAAACCAAGGAGAAAAATGTCAGAAAAGTTATTTCCTTTACAAAATTTCTACTACAGAATCCAAACACAGGGTATAAAAATGATTAGGAATACTGAAGTGTTCCAGAGCAACAAACTACATAAACTATCCTTAACATACGATAAACAGCCCCATTTCATTTTAGTATTTACCTTTCATGAACAAATGCCTGCACTCCAGTAGAGTACAGAAAAATTGCAGATGTGACTGTGGTCAAAAGAACTTGAATGGAAAGAATGCTGTAGACTTTCCGTAGAAAAGCTAGAATAACAAAAATAAAAGTGGAATCACTTTTGAGTTACACTTACAAAGTTCAACAGTAAATCAGATACAAGTTTTCTGTTTGATAAGGAACCATTAGAAACTTTACACAGTGAAAAAGCACAGAGCAAAGTGATAAGAAGCCATTTTTCCTTAAAAAACTGACACAGTATTCCAGCAAAATTACATTTATTCCTGGACATCATTATTTAAACAGTAACAACGATGACAAAAGAAATACAAAAAACATTTGCAAGGAATTTACTTCAGACTATTTTAAAAACTACACACACCTAATCTCACTAAGAAATTACTAACAGTATACCTTCTCCATCACGTTGCTAGTATCTAATGGACCTAAAGAAAGAAAGGTTAACTTGGAAGTTCTGTGGGAGACAGAAACAGCCGTAAGAGTTTAAAAAGGAAAAACCTTTACAGCAATATCTATTTGATTGACCTTCAGCCGTGTTAGATATCGTTCATCATCCTTTGCAACTTCCATTGTACTGAATGGTATATACAGATACAAACTGCTAGGAAAAAAAAAAAAAAATCCCAGAATTAAGCTAACAGGCTTCTTAATGCTAGAATCACAAAGAGTGGAGAGTGGTTCAGGACATACAGATACATCATACAGATATTCTCTGCTCTGCATGGAAGGAGACCAAGCCCATTAGGCAAAATGCTCTGAAAGGAAGAATAAGCTTACAGTGAAAATCAATTCAATCCTTAATAGAACAGCCTAAACAAGGTTAAGAGCAGATACTATGAGAAGCTGAATTACCTGCTTGCAGCAGGTAAAGTTAAACATATTTGTAAGCCATGAAGGACTGGGGCCTACTCTGTTGTAATAAACTGAACAAACCTAGAGGTAGCCTGCTATCTAGCAAAGCCTTCTCCCCACATTATTAAATGAATCTGCAATTTTGCTAATGGCAATACCTCTTTCATATTTCCTATGACATCCTTTTCCAAACAAGATAAAACTGTTTTTTTGTAGGAAGAGGTCTCCTGTTTATCAGAAATATCTAATAAAAAATTCACAGCACACAGCTGTTTTTATTCCAAGATGTATCCAATTACACTACAGCTATTTCAGCAAGGATTACTGATTAGGCACCATCTACAAGAGTATTCAATGCATTTGAGACCTGCATATTAACAGCAAAGCAGTATTTCATGGCCACCAATAGGACCTTATAGCACACAAATGCCTCAGCGGAAAAGACAATATTTTAACACCTCACAGAAGAAATTCAAATCCCTCAATCTCCTAGTTCAACTACTGTAATTACGGGCACCAATTTTAGCTTTTATACATCTTGTGTATCTTGTTTGGGCTTCAAAATGCATCACTCTGGGGAAAATCAAGTCTGACTCTATATAGGTTTAATCCCTCTGATAAAAAGACCTGCCCCCTATACACTGAAATGATAAAATCCAGCCTTTCCCCAGCCACTCATCCTTCTCTCACCCTCGATGCTTAACCTGGACTAAGTAACACCCTGGGTCCCTACCCACAGCCTTTACCCAGAAGGTTAAAATATTGCGCAGAACCTGAATTCAGCCAAACGCCACAGGCGACGGGGTTGACAGAGAGGAACTTGTTGGGAGCACGGGGGTACGACACCCCCTTTGACCGCCCAGACAGGGGAGGCAGCAGGGGCCGCTCCGCAAGGGCTGGGGGGGCCTAAAGGGGGGAACTCGTGGCGGGGCGGCCTTACGCATCCCCCGCCCCAGTCCCTACCCATGCGGATGTGGACACTGGCCGAGGCCACGTTTGTGCCATAGTTGAAGTCATCTTCGATGGAGCTCCGCGGGTAGAGCTGCTCCGCCGCCGCCATC